TAGGAAATATTTTGAGCATAAACCATCATACAAAACAATCATACCTCCTACTGTTTTGGTGTTGGTGGGGGTTGAGCAAGTAAGAGGATAACAGTGATGGGGAACCATTGCTCATTTAAACTAAGGAAGCAGGTGAATCATTGAAATGTATGTACATGATGACATACTGCAAACAGCATTATAAGAATGTTATGTTTTAAACTTGGAAGTGATGGTTGATCCTTCTAAGCCAGCATTTGTTTTTTAATAATATTTAAATATTGATGATATATGTGAAATAGATCGTCTTTATACAGAATTAATTAGGCTTTTCAGCATGTAAAAAGTTTAATCCACTTTTTTATATACTAGACTTTGATATACTGTATATTAAACAAAACCAAATTAAACAAAACCAAAACAAACAAAATCTTCAACTCCTTGTAAAGGTGTCAATCAGCACAATTACTGCTTTCTAGCCCGAGGACTTTGTGATAAGAGCAGAAGAAAAGATACTACAGGATAAAAGAATAGAAATGATCTAAAAAAGATGTCAGGAGTAGAATCTGCTGGAAGGTGACTAGAAGAATGGATGAATTAACCATTCCAGAAACATGCCCTTTCTCTTGGTTTTGAGTAAGATTCCTAGAGAAAATGACTAGATAAATCAAAGTAAATGGCACCAACCCTAGAAAATAATATACAAAGAATAATGGTGTAGAGGTTGGGCAATAATCAAGATGCCACATTTATTTTTCTGAATTTAATGTAATTTTACTAATAGTGGTTTGAGGCTACCCTAAAAAGAAACTCTTCAGCAATATATGATATGGTATGAGCCAAGGCTTTGCCCACTCCCAATGGGAAATTTGCCCTGTAGATTTACAAGTCACTTTTAGCACATTCTCACCACATTTAGTAGTGAATTATCCATTGCAATTGCTGGCATAGTGAATGCTGTCATACAGACCCAAGTTTCATATCACTGGGGCTATTATCACACCCCTCTCCCCATATCACTAAGTACTAATTTGTCCTGACAATGTGACATTCATCCCAAGCTTTTTCTAAAAATGCTATAATTTTGGTTCATATTTTTCTAACCTATGTACGCTTGGAATATTTACACACGCATGCACACACATACATACACACACAGCCTAACTTTGAACGTGTTCTTCTGTAGAATGGAAATTTCATTTTGCACCTGAGTTAACAGAACGGCAATATGAACCAAATGATTTTCCTTCCCACAGAAATGTAACAGGTAATAAAGCTGTCTTTGTAGTAAACTGAAAACTCACTATGTAAAAAGCACTAATTTGGTGACTATGTTAAACATACATTTATATAAAATAGTTCCGGCCCTGGAGGAGCTTGTAACTAGTGTGGAGGGAAAAAAGCTTACAAAACTTGGAAAACAGCCAGCCAAAGTTAGTAATAAGTACCAAATAAGTAGAGTAGAGAATAAGGGCTCTCAAACTTCAAAGGAGGGAAGCATTGTTTTGGATTGAGGTGGCCTGGGAAGCTTTTGTGCAGCTGGTAAATTATGAAGGTAAAGTAGGAGAATGGAAAGGCCTAGGTAAATAAGAATTATGGGAAAGGCATGCCAGGCAGGAGGCAATGGGATCAGTGAAGAGCAGAGAATGCCACAGATGAAAGCAGAGACACGAGCATATGAGAAAACAGTCTGTTTATTGAAGTGAATGAATGGGCAAATATTTATTAAAATCCTACAGGTATAAAGCACCATCCTATTTGCTGAAGATATAAAGGCAATGAGGTCTTTGACATTCCAGGATCCTTAACAACAGAAGCCAGCTCTATTGGGCAGTATGATGTCATAGAACAGGGAGCGCATGGCCATCAGACAGCCCCAGGTTCCATCCTGGCTCTGATATTTATTATGTGACCTTGCACACATTGTATAAGTATTTGGAATCTCATATTCTTCATGTACAATACTGGCCATTATGATGTTTTATTTATTTATTTAATTTATTTATTTACTTATTGAGACAGGGTCTGGCTCTGTCACCCAGGCTAGATGCAGTGTAGCAATCTCAGTTCCCTGCAACCTCTGCCTCCCATGCTCAAGCCAACCTCCCACCTCACCTCAGCCTCTCGAGTAGCTGGGACTACAGGTACATATCCACATACCTGACTTTTTATTTTTTTATTTTTTATGGAGACAAGATTTTGCCAAGTTGCTCAAGCAGATCTCTTGACCTCAAGTGATCTGCCCACCTTGGCCTCCCAAAGTGCTGAGACTACAGGCGTGAGCCATTATGTCTGGCCAACAATGCCTGTTCTATAAATGTGTTACAGGAAATAAATGAGAAAATGTGTGTAAACGGAAAGATTCAGTAACTGGCATATGGTGACCATAATATAAATCATAGCTATTGTTACAACTCCCTGTGTTTCACAAAACAATAAATACAGAACCACATACATCACAGCAGGGATCCGCAGTCCCCAGGAACCAGGATACACAGCAGGAGGTGAGTGGTGCGCAAGTGAGTAAATCTTCATCTGTGTTTACAGCCACTTCCCATTGCTCGCATTACTGCCTGAGCTCCACCTCCTGTCAGATCAGTGGTGGCATTAGATTCTCATAGGAGCTCAGACAATACAGTGACCTGCGCATGAGAGGGATCTAGGTTTCAGGTTCCTTATGAGAATCTAATGCCTGATGATCTGTCACTATCTCCCATCACCCCCAGATGGGACTATCTAGTTGCAGGAAAACAAGTTCAGCGTTTCCACTGCTTCTATATTACGGTGAGTTGTATAATTATTTCATTACATATGACAATGTAATAATAAAAGAAATAAGGTACACAATAAATATAATATGCTTGAATCATCCCAAAACCATCCCTCCACCCCATCTGTGGAAATACTGACTTACATAAAACTGGTTACTGGTGCCAAAAAGGTTGAGGATTGCTGCATCATAGGGACCAAACCAATTAAACACAAATTCATTGAGGACCTATGAGGTCCCAGGCATCATGCGAGTTCAGTTACAGAGCGGAGAAACACGGAATACATCTTGAAGGCACAGAACAAGGAGGTAGTCTAGAAGAGTAGTTATGAGCATGGGTTTTTGAAAGCTTTTAACCTAGACTCCAGCTCTTCAAATTTCTAGATTGCAACCACAGACAACTTAACCTTTCTCAACCTCATTTTCCTCATCTTTAACGCAAGAATCATAGTAACTACTTCTTTGAGATTTTGGGAGAAGTCTATGATAAAATGTGTAAAGAGCACATAGTAAGTGCCCAAAAAATGTTATCTGCAATTGAGAATGTCCCATGAACTCATGTTCACTCTCCGCTATCTATACCCTCCTTCTCACCTCTCCTTTATGGGTTTGGGAGACTGATTTCCAGCTAGCTTTCCTCATTGCAAGGAATAGGGTCTGGGAAGATAGAAAGAATCATGGTAATAGTAATAAAATACAAGAAGAACAGCTAACATTATTTGAGAGCATATTGTGAGCCAGAAACTGTTCTGAGTGCCTTCCATGTATAAATTCATAGTAATAGGTAAAGTATTTCAGTAAAATATTTATTTGTACAGATTGTCATTCTAATGAATTTTATGTCATTGAAAAAAAGTTTTAACACAATACTGGCACAGAAAAAATTTTAGCTGTCTGCAAAAAGGGCAGAGCAAGGAAACAAGAAACAGAATTCATCTGTTTTATCGGGCTATTCTGTTTCTACTGAATCCAGTTGTACTGCGGTGAAAGCAAGATAGCCACACTTGTGAGAGAAAAAGGAACTGTGTGACAATGTCAGCCAGCAGATTATAGTAACAAATCAAAAGAATACATAAACTGATGGAGGTATACCAGAGTTCCAGGTTTCACACGTGGTCAGTCTCCGCATTGTAATACGTAATTAGTTAAAAATTAAACAAAAATGAGAAAGGGCATGTTTAAGCAACTAGACTGTGGCACCCTTGAACATTAGATGTTAGATGTGGTGTTCAATGTTAACCTGTTTCATCAAGTTGTCAGAAATAAAAAAAAGCTTCATTCAGTAAACTGCATGACTGCTGCTCAAAACTGCATGCAATTTTAGTTGAGTTTTTAAATTTTTTTCTTTTTGCAAAATGAAAATAAGAAACATACTAGAGACAATATTTTATTGCATCAGTAAGTGTCTGTTTTTTTAAGAGTTTTCTAGATTACCATAACAATTTTGCTTAGAAATACTGCATAATAGAGCTTTGGACATTTGAAACTTTTTTCAAAACCTTATACATTTGGATTTATGATCCACACTGATCCTCTAACTAATGTCCAAAACTGCAGGACACAATTTTCTTTCCCTTAAAATAAGACTTGTGAAACCATCTGAAATAGCTCTGGACCTCAAATAATATTTAACCAACAATCACATAAGAATTAAAAGCAAATGAATAGGAAATATATCATTAGTAGTTCTTTTACAAGTAGAGAGAGCTTTCAAAGTGAATGGCCAATTTGTCTGGCAAAATGACAAGGTTGGGTGCTGGCCCAATCGTATTTCACAAAAGCCTATTTTGCGATAATTGCGGGATTCTGACAGTAATCCGAATTCAACACTTACCTCATTCTAGAGTTTCTTTTGGAAAATATATTGAGTGAATGATCTAAGTCTTAGAAGTCCCAACACATTCTGTGTTTAATCAGTCACTCTCAGCCACAAAGAAATGTGGCCTCTGTCTTCAGCAGGGAATATTTTCTTGGCCAGAACTAGATATCAGGGTCCAACTTAGAGATAAATCCATAAAAATCTCTATACTAGAATTTCCTTGTTAGAGGAAAACAGTGGAGAAAAGTGGGGTTTAAGATTGTATTTATTTTCCATATAATTTGCTTCTGTATTTTCCAGGTCTGGCCTTGCTTTTCTCCTTTTCCTGTTTTCCCAAATTTTCATATTCAACATGACCAAATTCTTTTCATTTTCATTTGTTTCTGCTTCATCATATGCTCCTTATAGTGTTGTTTTCTCCTTTCTGTTTCTAGATTCGCAGATCTATTTTGGGACCTAACATGTGTGTGTACGTGTATATGCATTTATGTGCATATCTACAGATTTGAAATTAAGGTAACTTCAAAAGGTAGAAGTTGGAGAGGGTAACTACAGACAGGGAGGTCTGGTCATGATGTCTAAGAGCCATTGTCTGTTGACGAGGAACCAGAGACTAAGAGGGCACTCTCAGCCTTCAGTCCTCTGTGGGGTAGGTGCAGAGCCAGAACCTGATCCTAGGTCTCTTGACTCCAAGAACTTGTCTGCTATGCAATGCTATAGTCTTTTGAAAAATGTCAGAAGAAGTATTAATAGAAATACCAAGATTAATTTATTATGCTGTACTTCTTCCAACACCAATTCACGCGTAGCACGAATGCTTAAGGATAAATGAGTAAGTGAAGGTTGAAGCTTAAAAGATAAACAAAGGAAAGGAAGCAAACACTTTAGAAGAGTCAAATTATGTTACCCGAGCCTCTTAGGCTTAAGGTTCAAGAAGTGAAGTCAGGCAACACAGAGCTTGGTTTAGAATTCCTCTGAATTCCTTTAATCCCTTAGGCCAGTTAAAAGGAAATGATCTGACTGTTCTGCATCTGCTAGTGATTGAAGGCAAACGGGAAGCAGTGCGCAAGTTCCCGTTCAAGAAATATATAGTGCACACGGCTATTGTGAAGGTACACTGCAATTGCAAATCGCAGCCAACCCAATCTGACTAAAAAACTCTGAGACACCTCCAACATATGGGGAACTGATGCTTGAGCAGACACAGAAGGAGTTACCAAAATCGTGCCAAAGAGACAAAATGAAAATAATTTATTACAAAATGTGTGTATGTGTGTGTGTGTGTGTCAGTTCCTATGTTATCCTCAATATTCAGTCTGTTATAAAGAAGAGAGGGTTATATTTACAATGAAGCTCTCCTGAGAGCTTCCCTACCCTTTCCTCTGCATTGGTTCTCTAACATTCTTCCAAGGACATCGATATGATGATGTAATAAGAAGCCTGATCATCTAGGGAAACTTTAGAGGCATTTAAACCAACATTACTGGCATGTAGCATTGGTAAGATTCCCATATGGCTTGTAATGGGATCTGACTAAGTAAAAATAAAATTTGTGTTTACCAAGGAATGTTATCCATAACAAAAGGAGGTAGTTAGGCCAAACTATTTGCACTTACCCTACTGGATCAATCCATAAATTACCACAAGGTGGGTATTTATCCCTTCTCTGCATGCTCGTATTAATAATACTTTGTCCTGCCCCCTGTGAACTAGAAAGTCAGGCCCCTAAAGAGGAGCATGATCATGTGGTTTAGGCTGAAGTGGTGTTAGTTTTGGTTGAGCTGTCATTTTCACATCCAAGGGTCGAATGGGAATCTTCATTCTAAGCCAAATGTGTCCTCAGCCAGAAATTTCTTGGCTCCACTCAAACTTAACATCTAACTTTGGTTTGCCAGAGGAGAAAGAGCCAGGAATGGAGAGGAACAAATAGAGGGAGGGAGAGAGAGAGACCTTTGAGAAAAACCATTTTAATCTAAAGAAAATAAAGACATAGACTGTACGTTTTGCAATCCCCACACGCTAGGTAAAAATAAGAGATTAACTTAAAATTCATTTTTGTACCTTCTCATTCACATTTCTCTTTTCAAAGCACCCCGTATTTTGCCCTCCTAGCAGTCAAAAGCAGAGCAACTCAAATTTTTACTCTCACAATCTATTGGTATTGTTGGTAATTTTTCTTCTATAATTAACTTTGAAAAAGTTTTGTGTTTGGGAAAAAATGTAGCTCACCTTCAACTCTGATTCTAGCAACTTCCAAAATTGGTTCACTTTATATAATACCATGGCTAGATTATATTTTAGATTTCTAAATAAATATACCAAAATCGCTTTTTTTGGAAAGATGACTATATTCTAATGTAAAGCCTGACACAGTATTTGAGTATTAACCATTCCAAAATAGAGTCTTCAAAATGAATAAAGTAGATCAACCTTAAGGAGAACACAGAATTCTTAAAGCATTCTGAAATGTTTTACATTTTTTTCTAAACAATTTGAATAACTGTGTCAAGTAAGTGAAGAAAGAGTAATAATAAAGGATTTGTTACATTCGTGTTCATGTCACATTCAAGAGTCTGTGAAATTGTTTTGCACGGGACTCTAAAATGCTAGACTATTTCTTGCTGTAACTCAAAAGCAAACACCTACATATATTCACACTCTGTGGGCTTTTCCACATACAATCAGAGCAGCTCTGAAAACTCTCTGGAAAGCAAAATATCTTTGGAAGAAAAAAATTCTCAATATATTCGCACTATAGGACTTTGATCAGTTTGGAGAAGTCTGGGTCTAACAATAATAGTATATTTTTACTTAAGAAATAGAAGTTTCGCTTAAAAAAAATCTGACATAGAAGTTTGTCTTGATTTTAAGAGAAAGTGTAACAGAACAATCCTCTTCCCTATAGTTCAGGATCTCCAATGTGTAAGCAGTGAAAAGAATCTATGCATCCAAGAAGTATCCAGTTGCTGTGACCAAGTCTTCCTTTCCTGTGAGTTTTAGGTTTATCTTGGGGCCTCTTACCTTGCTCACCCCTAGGAAGTTTGCTCTTCCTTTAAGGCTTTAATAAAAGCTAACCCTTTCTTTCACTTCCCTTAGCCTGATAGATTATTTCCAGTGTAATATATCAAATATGAAGTGTTAAAAATATTAACTTAATAGGTAGGAATAATGAATTCATAGTAAAAAAGCATAAGAACCATGTTCACTGAAAGGATTTGGTTACGAGGGCCAAAGAAGCCAGGAAAGGTGGTTCCTGGGCTTCATACTTGGGAGGTGCTACTGATATGGACAGGAGGCAAGGAAATACTGGGTAGAAGAGGGCAGTTCCCTGGCAAAGGCCCCACGCTCAAACCTGGATACCTGCAGCCCTAAATGAGAACAGGCATTCCTGGTTTTGTGCCCCAAAAGTTGCCTTTTGGCCCACCATGCCCTCTCTACTGCACCCATATAAACCCCAAACCCCAAGCTCCAGAAGCAGACCAGCAGGCGAGGAGATGAGGAAAGCAAGCAGACGGACTAGGACTATGGAACAACGTGGCAGAGAAAGAGGGAAGAGGAGGGACATCCGGTTGCCGAGAGGAGTTCAGCTGGGGTCAGAGAGGAGTCCGGATGCTGGGCAGCCCGGCTCCAAAAAAAGATCACCTTCCCTTCCAGCTCCCCATCCATCTCGCTGAAAGCCATTTCCACCACTCAATAAAACCTCGCATACATCCTTCAAGTCCGTGTGTGACCCGATTTTTCCTGGATGCTGGAAAAGAGCTCAGGATACAGAAAGCTGTTCCCTGGTCCTTTGCCCTTGTGAAAAAGCAGAAGGTCCATTGAGCTGGTTAACACTCAAGCCGTCTGCGGATGGCCGAGCTGAAAGAGCTTTGTAACACTGGGGTTGCCGGCACCCATCTCTAGACAGACCCTAACGCAGGGCCAGAACCCAAAACCCTCACCCTGGCCTCTACACCTGCCCATCTGCATGATCCCCTTCTCCTAAGGGGTTTGAGCAGTGGGGCGACCAAACAAGCAAGCCACATCCCTGTTGCACGTCCTGCGAGGGGAATCAGGGAACTCTCCTGTTTCAGTACTTACAGGGAAAGTATTTCACCTAATGTAGTAAAGTTAGTTAAATGGGCTATGCGAAAAATGTCAACTATAGTTCGTGCTGTGGTTCTGAAAACATTAAAATATTCAATTTTTGAGTCTTAAATGCTGTGGTCTGAATAAACATCCACTTTGGAGAAGTGACTTCTCCAAATTTCTACATTGAAATCCTAACCCCCAATATGATGATATTGAGATCTAGGGCCTTTGAGAGTTGATTAGGCCATGAGGGCACAGCCTTCATAAACAGAATTAATGCCCTTATAAAAGAGGCTCTAGAGAGATGCCCCATGTAGGCATCCATACTGGCATGCTGAACTTGGACTTCCCAGACTCTAGAATGATGAGAAATAAACTTCTGTTGTCTATAATCTACCCCATTTATGGTGCTTTATTACAGCAGCCCAAAGAGACAAAGACATTAAATACCCCATATTAATCTATTTCAAACTCCTATAAAGAACTGGCCAACATTTGGTAATTTATAAAGGAAAGAGGTTCAGTTGACTCACAGTTCAGCATGGCTGGGGAACCCTCAGGAAACTTACAATCATGGTGGAAGGCAAAGGAGAAGCAAGGCACCATCTTCACAAGGCAGCAGGAAGGAGAAGTACCAAGCAAAGGGGGAAGAGCCCCTTATAAAACCATCAGATCTCATGAGAACCATCTCACTATCATGAGAACAGCATGTGGGAAACCACTCCCATGATTCAATTACCTCCACCTGGTCTCTCCCTTGTCACGTAGTGATTATGGGGATTACAATGCAGGATGAGATTTGGGTGGGGACACAAAGCCTAACCATATCACACTCCAACAAAAACAAAGTGCTACTGCTTAACACAAATGTACTTGTCCTCCACTCCAGAGGAATAATCAAAATTCTCATCATTTAATGTATTTAGCATTCTTTCTCTATTTCTATCTTAATATAATATTGATAGACTCTAACCTGGAAGCTAAATTTTCATGTAAATCCTCTCCAAGATACCTTAATAAGATGTTGACAGCGACAACAAAAAAAGAAAGGGTTGAAACATCACAGCAGTAAAGAAAATACTGACTGATTCTACAGTTTCTGTTTATGTAATTGTTATGAGGTCATAGATGGTAATAAAAACTTCTCTCTTCCACTATCCCTTCTATACTACATTTGCTTTCCTTCAGAATGATCTCAGCAGATTCAGGGTTCTTTGCCTGGTGAGGTTGCTCAATACTTCATTAATAAGGAATCTGTCTCTGTGAATATTCTACAGGCTTCTATAGAGTAAGCAATTCCTGCACCAATGGGATACTCCTCTCTGCTACCATTACATAACAGCAATTCTATTTCTCTTGGTGACTAAGAGACATAATCCCAGTAAGCAGAGAGAAACTCTTTTTGCTGATTTATTCAGTGGCATGAAGTAACTATAATGACCTTAGCTTCTAATTCAACAGGACTACCATTACATCCTCTGGTGGAAACATTCAGACATTGGGTCCTAACACCTCTAAACCAGTAGAGTCTAGGGAAAAGGAAATGAGGTGCAATAATTTGGGAAGCAAATCATTAACTGCGAGAATGAAGAAGCCACTCTCACTTTTGTCCCATTGTTGCCCAGATTTATGTTTTTGGGTCATGGGACAGAAGTCACAAAATATTAGCCAATGGCTTGTTCTAGAAAAAATTCTGTAAACTGGATGCCAATTTCATAAGGTCTTCTAGTGATTGCAAAACCTAAGGCATCGGTAGACATTTTACCTTTCCATGAGTCCAAATATTGTATAGATTGTAATAAGTAAAATATTTAATAATAAATTAATTTTAACAATCCCAGAGGTGAGGTTATTGGCAGAAACATGGCAGAGAAGGAAAGGGAATCTAAATACAGATATTTGTCTATTCCGGAAGAAGAATAATTAAGTATACTAAAACAATCACCATATGGTTTCCCGACTCATGTAAAGCATGGGACCTTATCAGATCTCTGGATTGGTCACAGTGCTAACAAACTGGTCCCCTATGAGTGACAGTACTCAGATTAGCGTTTGCACAGTAAGTGGACATTGGCAAACCAATGAAAAATTTTACTGCTTTACACTGTGGCATTAAAGCGGCTTCTTTGCCAGAGAAGAAGGCAGACTGACATCCATATAGTAGATCATGTTGTCTACCTGAGAAAAGAAAATCTCCTTTACAGTGGAGCCTTGCCATGTTCATTCATACATGGAAAACACACATTTTTAAATTCTGAGAAGTTCCACAAGATAACTCTTACTCAATCCTCTTTGCTTCTAAACAAAACCTCAAACTCCCAGTTTGCTGGAAATCTTACTCTTTCCACAATTACACAATTAACTGCTGCTTCTTCTGGTCTGAAGCAGACATTCTTTTGCCAAACAAAGTGAACAATGAGATGCACCATTTTGAATTATGACCACCTGGAGGATTAACCTTTCCAGTGTTCTTCAGCCCTCAACAGCTACAAAGGTCACAACAGTGCACTTCTGGCTGATGTCAGCATGTAGCATAACATTTTGTAAAATCCAGGTTTAAATGGTGTATTAGTCCATTTCACATGGCTATGAAGAAATACTTGAGACTGGGTAATTTATAAAGAAAAAGAGGTTTGATGGATTCACAGTTCCACATGGTGGGGAAGGCCTTATAGTCTTGGTGGAAGGTGAAGGTGGAGCAAAGGGACATCTTATATGGTGGCAGGCAAGAGAGCATGTGCAGGGGAACTGCCCTTTATAAAACCATCAGATTTCATGAGACTTACTATCACAAGAACAGCATGAGAAAAAGCCATCCCCATGATTCAATTACCTCTACCGGGTCCCTCCCATGACACATGGGGATTATGGGAGCTACAATTCAAGATGAGATTTGGGTGGGGACACAGCCAAACCACATCAAGTGGCATACCCTTCAGGCCATGGAAACTACCCATGAAGCCAAGGGTGTTGATTGGAGCAGGGATGGCTTTATGACAGAGGTGTGCCCAGTGGAAGGCTCACACTGTTTATTCATGCTTCCAAGCCATGTTATAAATATAAATACACACACACATTATAGGTGATATCTCACTTATAATGAATAAGGTGCTGCCAGTCTTCTAACTTAGAGTTTCCTGGGAGGTTTAAAATGGACATCTCAGGTTACATGGTCAAATGTTGTTCCATGATCAGGCATTCAGTTGATGTGTGTCCAGGGCAAAACTAGGAGCCGTTTCTCAAAAGGAAAAGAGTTTTTAGGTAAAGGGTCATGGCTTTGCTCTAAAATCCTAGGGTCTTCCTTGTAATTCTCAGACTGTGTCTTTCCACTAGTTTTGACAGCTTCCTAATCCACTACAAATACTCCCAGCAATTGAGTCCAGTAGTTCATAAATGACAGTGCCCTCATTTTGTTTGCCTTGCAGCCAGGACCAGCAGGAGGCCTTTCTTAAACTCTATTCTCCTATCAAGTATAAGCTGTTCCCAAACATCAAAGAGGTCTACCAAGCATTCTTTGGTTTGTTTGCTTGTTTACTTGAAAGGTAGGGGGGTATAAGATATAGCAATGTAGCTTTCACTTTAAAGGATCTATTTTGACATATCACAGATCAATAGAGTCCAGAAATATCACCGAGTTATCAGAACCCTGTATTTTAATGTAATTTGTTTTCTACTCTCTGGCATTCATGTTATCTTTTATAGCTTCTAGAATACTCACCACCCTCTATGTTCTGTTAACATATCAGTATAGCTGTTGCAGCCTTGAAGCAAGTTGATGAAGGTAAATAGCAGTCTGTCAGGTAAAAGCAAACAGCTTCTAGTGCTCTTAGTTTATTGACATAAAGGGGGGAAAAACATTTCTCAGCTCAGTAGCAGCATAACAATTACTAGGGCCTGTGCTAATTTGCCCACACTTGTAAAAACAGCTTCAATGAAGATATCACCTAATGAAGCCCATGATAATCACTGTCATTGTCCCAGACCCATGTGTCTTCTGCATAGATCAACCAAGTGAGCTAAGTGGGCTTGCGGTGGAAATCTTCACCCATTTATCTCTCAAGAAAATCACTTCCAACTCTCTAGACTCTATCCAGGACACTGATGCCACAGTCTGTCTACTTTTCAAAAACTTCAAACTAATAAAAACCGTGTTCCTTTTTTCCTCATCTGACCTCCTTAGCATTACTTGTCATACACATTTTTTAAATTTGCTGATATTCAGAAGAGAAATCTCACAAGCATTTTGATGTGCAAGCTGTCTCCTCCCAAGTTTGTAATTGGCCTCCTAGAGCATTCTGTGTGATCTGACTTTTGATATAGGTCTGGAGGCCACAAGGACTGGTGGAGGTGGGGCTTCCTCCTCAAAGGTAATGACCCCAGGTAAAGTCAAATGAGGGGCTTCAAGCATAAAAGGCACAATCTGAGCAAGGTTGGGAGGGGTTGGAGGGATGGAGTAGTTGCTACTCCTGACAAAGGGTCATCAGTGCAGTTTCGGGGCTTAGGACATTTTGAGTTATCCAATACTCTCTTCACATGCTTTCATTCCATTTTTTTCAGTTATGCCATATTCTCATTGTTTAATTACAAGTAGCATTTTAGAAAGAAGAAGGAAAGAGCCAATTCATCAC